TCGGGCTCCCTGCTCAGCAGGGAGTCTGCTTCTCCCTCGGACTCTCTCCCCTCTCATGCTTTCTATCTCTCATTCTCTCTCTTAAATAAATAAAATATTAAAAAAAAAAAAGAAAGAAAGAAATATGGCTGAAAGTGTGGGTAAGTATGCAGATAACAGTGCCCTGTACACTACATTAAGGGATTCAGATTTTGTCTTACAAGGAACCTACACAGACCCCGAGGGATTTGTAGATGTAGCCCCAAGGCTATGTTTCTCTTAGAGAAATCTTTTATTTTCAACTTGATAAAAATTCAAAACCAAAAACATTTTTTAAAAGGATACTCTGGATCATCTGAATGGCCACCTTTTAATTGATTACTGTCATAAGATTTCAGTTCACATGTTTGTGTTTAGCAGTGCACTGGCAAACAACTGGTACCATTTGTCATTGGCACAGGTTAATGAGAAAGAAATAGGAACTACTTTATGTAAATGATGGTGTTTGACAAGTGAAGGTCAAATGAAATCACGACACACTGAACAAAGGAAAGCTTTGCAGTGGTTTAAATAAAGAAAAGAGATGAAGGCATTGAGTAATCTCAACACAAGTACAAAATGGACAGGCCTTTTATAAGGAAATTATGCTATGGAGGACAGTGAACATTTGCTTTTGGAGTGTATTAGGTCCAGCAAAAAGAGTCTCATTGGTAAAGAACAAGTATTCATTTGAATTTATTTGTTTTATTTGTGCTTCATTTAACTTATAACTGGGAGTTATAGTTGTATAAGATATACAACATAAGGAGTTTATATATAGTTTTATATTTGCATATATTTAACATACTGAAAATATTTTAAGTTAACAACAGAGAATCCTGGGTATCTACTCAGGCTTGAGAAATTCTGTTCTGGGTGATTGGGAGCCACTGAAAGATTTTAATAAGGAAATGACAGATTTGTGCTTTAGAAAAATCACTCTGGCAGCCGTATGGAGGGTTGAATTGAAAGTACTTAAGCAAGGCAGGAAGGAGGCTACTTAATATAATAATGTGATAAAATGGTGAGGCCCTAAATTACTTAGGTGATACAAAAAGGAGATGGATAGGAGTTAGAATCAAAAGGACTTGGTTGTGGGTGAGGAAAGGATGGTATCCAGGATGACTTCTGGGTGAGTTGGTGTTAAGATAAACACCACAGGAAGAAAAACAAGTGAGGGTGAAGAGGAATGAGAAAAGAGAGATGATGAATTTAAGTCAGCAATGATTTGAATTTCATTTCATCCAAAGAAAATCCAGTTCTCTTTTCTGGGTCCCAGTTTTCTCAGTGACAGCTGCATTCATGAATTACCAAATTAACTATTATAGCGCGCTCTAAAAATACACATAGCACTCCACAGTATGCTGTAAATAAGTCATGAAAAATCAGCAAAAGCCCAGGCCCTGAAGGAAATTCAGCAGGGTGAAAAAGAGATGTGACAAATTTTTACTAAACACTTCAATTGTGACCCAACGCACTCACCCAGTATTGCACTCTGCTCTGTCAGTCAGAGGCGATCACTCCCTTGCCCACATAGGAACAAGAGGTAGCACGCCCGAGCTCACGTGGCAGATACAAAGACACCACCCTCAAGGGACGTGCAAAGCGAGGGGGCACACCTACTGCACGATTACTGAAAACGTAGTGTAGTGGGAACTTTGACCCTACAGGCAGGGGTAGTTGACAAAGTTACCTTTTACTTAGAGGAATCAACGTGGAATATCTTAGCCTGCTAAGAATGTAAACATTTCCTATTTTATTACCAAAAAAAAGAAAAAAAAAAAGAGGCGAGAGGAAGGAAAACGCAGCAATTATCGCAAAACCAGCCTGTGTCCCCGCAGGCCACAGAAGGGCGAGCTCTGGAGGAGTAATTCAACCCTAGTTTGGTGGGGATGCCAGCATCTTCCACCACTTATCTTCCACCACCACAATAGCATAATGTTTATAGACCCAAAATGTTTAACCGTCAACCTCATCCACAATGTCCAACGTGCGACTTAAGGGAAAGCCGCGGGGCGTACCTTTAGCACGAATGCTGCTTTGGGGAGGGGGGGAGTCGCACTCCACACAGCGCCCTCTCGGCACCCGGTCAGCGCCTCCCAGAACGAAAGTCGGGAGCTGATGGGCGTGAGCGTACTGGGGCTGCACGGTTCGCACAGTAAACCAACGCCAAGAGGCGGCAGCACAGCGCCCCGGTGCTCTGCCCCGCGCCGCGTGCAGAGCAGGAAAAGGGCGCCCGCCGCACAGCGTAGTCTCCGCCCGGCCGGAGGAGGCGAGGTCGGGCGGGGCCACGGCTGGTTGGAGGCGGGGCCGGCTCAAGACTCTCTTCCCTCCGCCTGATGGGAACTGTAGTTCTGGGAACTAGCCAGTTTCCCTCAAAGGGCTCTGGGAACTACACTTCCCGTTGAGGGAACGGCTCCAGCAGGCCGCGCGTTACGGGGGCGTCACACTACCCGCACCAGCGCTGCAGAGTGTTTGAGGGGCAGGTCGAAGGGGTGTCTTTTCCTTCACTCTGCGCTCAGGCGGTGCCGATTCCGCCTTATCTCGCCCCACGGCCGTGCGCTCATTGCCCGGCTCCCGGTGTCAGCTTTTCCTGAGTCCTTCAAGGAGTTGGGGCCTGGAGGTTCGGAGGTAACGGCTGCTGCCTTTCGCGGGAGCGAGGGGCGCTCCCCTCTTCAGCCCAGCCAACCCCGCACCCGGCCCTTGCCTCCATGGGCCCAACTCGGAAACCCAACGTGTGCCGCCAGCTGAGTCGCCGGGCGCTGGGCTTCTTCTCGCGGGACGCAGGCGTGGTGCAGAGGACGAACCTGGGCATCCTGAGGGCGCTGGTGTGCCAGGTGATCGCCGGCGGCTGGGAATGGGGCCAAGGGCAGCGGGGCGACTGGCGGCCAAGCCTCCTGCCGGGGTGCAGTTTTTAAGCGTTAGAGCCTCCTTTTAAGAAGATCACATGTGATGCGCAGGGAATCCAGGCCCTGAACCTGGGGAATTAGTAAATAGCTATTAATAGAACCGCCAGATGCTTTTAGTTTTAAGCTTCTTATGTCTTCCTGCAAACGATCTTCCTAAAATTTGGTTACCCGGCTTAACACGTGAGCGCAGAGTGAGGAAGATAGGAACATAATGTTTTAAATAACTACTTTGAAAACTGACTGTAGATTTAACTATCCCACTTAAAATTGGTGCACGGTAGAGACTTATGAATTATTCCCTAAACCAAAATTCCTTGTGTCTTTCAGGAAAGTACTAAATTTAAGAATGTGTGGACAACTCATTCCAAGTCACCTATAGCCTATGAGAGAGGAAGAATATATTTTGACAATTATCGGTGCTGTGTCAGCAGGTATCTTTTTGATGAACATTTTTGCTGTAATTCACCTCATTGTTAATCTTAACTAATTTTTATAGAACCACATGCTATATCAGTGCTTAATGAAATAGGAGAATGGAAAAATGAGCCCAAAATAAGTATAGGTAATAAAATGGGTTGTAATTTTAAAATCTTGTTAAATCCAAAGTTAGAGATTTCATCTTTGCAAATACCAATTTACTTTATAGTGCGGGCAAAATGATGGGTTGCTCAGGGTATGGAAGAGTGTCTTATTACGCTTAGAAGATATCAGAGTCAAGGGAGCCAGGTATCTAATAATTAGATGCTGCTTTACAGAATAATTTCTTTTTTTTTTTAAGATTTTTATTTATTTATTTGAGAGAGAGACACAGAGATAGCTAGAGAGACCACGAGCGGGGAGGAGAGGGAGAAGCAGTCTCCCCGCTGAGCGGAGAACCCCCATGCAATGCCCGATGGCTCAATCCCAGGACCCTGGGATCATGACCTGAGCCACCCAGGCGCCCCTAGAGAATTTCTGTTTTGTTTTGGAAGTACTTGCATTTTTTTTTGTTTGTTTTAAAAGAAAAATTTCAAACTTGCTTCAAAGAGAGTAGTATAGTGAACCTCCATATACTCATTACTAGATTCAAAAGTGATTCAGATTTTGCTGCATTTGTTTATCTATCCCATTGTCCCCTTTTCCTTGACCTTTTTATAGACTAAGTATTTTAAAGCATAATAGAAACACCATGCCATACTTAAGTTTGCTTCTCTAAAAAATATAGACTTTTTTCTTTTTCTTAATACCTTTATTAAGATATAATTCACATACTATACATTTCACCCATTTAAAGTATACAATTAATGGTTTTTAGTTTATTGAAATTCATGTGCAATGATAGGAATTTTGGTGAACCATTGTGGTTCATATAGGCAACCATCACTACAGTTAACATTTTCATCACCTCAAAAAGAAATCCTATTCCGTTTAGCTATAGTCCCATCAACCTTCAACAGACTTTCTGTCTCTATAGATGCACCTGTTCTGGACATTTCAAATAAATTGAATCACATAGTGTGTGGTCTTTTGTGATTGACTTTTTAGTAGAATTACCAGTTTATTATAAAGGGATATAATTCAAGAACAGCCAGATAGAAGAGATATGTAGGTATGTGGGAAGGGGCATGGAATATACATGCTCTGAGCATACTACTGTTCCTAAATCTCTACGTGTTCACCAACCTAGAAGCTTCTCTCCTTTGATAATATATACATTTAGTGCTATTCTTTTCCCTCAAGCACTGTTTTTGCAGCATCCCACAAATGTTTATATATTTCATTCTTCATTTTGTTAAAAATATTTTAAAATTTCTCTTGAGACTTCTTTGACCCATGTGTTAATTAGAATTGTGTTGTTTAATCTCCAAATCTTTTGGGATTTTCCAGCTTTCTATTATTGACTTCTAATTTATTTCCACTGTGGTCTGAAAGCATACTTTGTATTACTTCTGCTCTTTTAATTTTGTAAAGGTGTGTTTTATGGCCCAGATTATGGTCTCTCTTGGTGAATTTCATGTGAGCTTGAGAAGAATGTGTCTTCTGTTTTTTATCGGATGAAGTATTGTATAGATGTCAGTCAGATCCAGTTGATTGATAGTACTGTTCAGTTCAGCTATATCCTTACTGACTTTCTGCTTGCTGGATCCACCAGTTACTGACAGATGTGTTGAAGTCTCCAACTATAATAGTAGATTTGTTTCTCCTTGTGCTCTGTCAGTTTTTATCTCACATGTTTTGATATTATGTTGTTAGATGCACACACATTAAGGATTTTTTATGTCTTCTTGGAGAAATGACCCCTTTATCATATGTAATGCCACTGTTTATCACTGATAATTTTTATTGTGGAAGTCAACTTTGTCTAAAATTAATATAGCTACTCCAGCTTTCCTTTGATTAGTATCTGTGTGGTATATCTTTCTCCATTCCTTTACTGTAATCTGTGTGTTTATATTTGAAATGGGTTTCTTATAGATATCATGTATTTGAGTCTTGTTTTTTTATCCACTCTGACAGTCTCTGCCTTTTAATAGGTATATTTAGATCATTCACATTTAAAGTGATTATTGATATAGTTGGTTTAATACACTCCCATATTTATAACTATTTTCTATTCATTGCCTTTTGTTCTTTTTTGGTCTTTCATTCTTTTTTATGTCTTCTCTGCTTTTAATTGTTTTATATGATTCCATTTTCTCTCTATTTTAGCATATCAGTTATACTTCTTTTTAAAAATTTTTAATGGTTGCCTTAGAACTTGTAACATATATTTACAACTAATCTAAATCACTCTCAAGTAGCACTATACCTCTACATGGGTAGTGTAGTTACCTTATAATAGAGTATTTCTAATTGCTCCCTCCTGCCTTTTATAATGTTGATGCCATTCTTTTTATCCATAAGCTATATTCACTGAATACGTTGTTGCTGTTATTATTATGAACAGATTTTTATCTGTTAAATCAATTAAGAATAAGAAAAATAGGGCACGTGGGTGGCTCAGTCGTTAAGCGTCTGCCTTCGGCTCAGGTCATGATCTCAGGGTCCTGGGATCGAGCCCCACATTGGGCTCCCTGCTTGGCGGGAGGCCTGCTTCTCCCTCTCCCACTCCCCCTGCTTGTGTTTCTGCTCTCGCTGTGTCTCTCTCTGTCAAATAAATAAATAAAATCTTAAAAAAAAATAAGAAAAATAAAGGATTTTATTTTACCTTTATTCGTTTTCTTTTATTTATTTATTTTATTTGAGAGAGAGAAAGAGTGCACATGGGCACACATACACATGAGCAGGGGGAAGGGCAGAAGGAGAGGGAGAGAATCTCAAGCAGACTCCCTGCTGAGTGTGGAGCCGGATTCTGGGCATGATCCTGAGATCATGACCTGAGCCACTTAACCAACTGAGTCACACATGTGCCCCTATTTATTCCTTTTCTAACATTCTTCCTTTTTTAAGGTAGATCTGAGTTTCTGACCTATATAATTTTTCTTCTTTTTGAAGAACTTTTTTGAACATTTCTTGAAAGGCAGATCCACTGGCAACACATTCCCTCGATTTTTGTTTGAGAAAACCTGATTTCTTTTTGACTTTTGAAGGATAACTTCTTGGGATACAAAATTCTAGATTGGTTGGGTGTGATATAATGATTTATAAGAAATATATATTTGGATGTGATGTGATGAGCACTAGGTGTTATATGCAACTAGTGAATCATTGAACATTATATCAAAAACTAATGATGTACTATATGTTGGCTAATTGAATTTAAATTAAAAAAAATCTATATTTGGTCATTCAGGTGACAAAAATATATTTCTCAGATATATTTGCTCTTCATCTACAGTTCCTGAAAATGCTTTAGATCCATAAAGGTGAAGTACGTGTCTTGTTATTAATGAAGGTAACTTTCAGACCCCACCCAAGTGTAAGGGCTTGTTGCCTAGAGAACCAAACATGTGATTAGAGGGTTGGAACTTTCATTCCCAACCCTGGACCTCCAGGCAACAGAGGGGAGCTGGTGGTTGAATCAGCTGCTGGCCAATGACTTTGTACAACTATACAGTGAAGCCTCCATAAAACCTCAAGAGGACTGCGTTTGAAGAACTCTGGATTGGTGAACACTTGGAGATGTGGGGAGAGTGACTTGCCTGGAGAGGGCATGGATATACCTTTTCCAGTGTAACTCTTCATCTAGGTGTTGATTTGTATTCTTTATCATATCCTTTAAAAACTGGTAAACATAAGTAAATGTTTCCCGGAGTTCTGTGAGCCACTCTATCAAAGTAAAAGAAACTAAGGAGAAGGTCATTGGAACCCCAATCTGTAGCCCATGGGTCAGAAACACAGGTAAGAGCCTGGGGGCTTGGTGACTGGCATCTGAAGTGGGGGGTGGAGGGCAGTCTGATTGGACTGAAAACCTGTGGAATCCAATGCTATCTCCTAGTAGATAGTGTAAGAATTGAGTTGAATTGTCCAACACTCTACTGGTGTCTGAGAATTGCTTGGTGTTGTGTGTGGGAGATCCCCTCCCCCCATATTGGAATTGGGTCTAGGAGTCTTAAAGACTGTGGGTGGGGGTTGTTTCATCACTTTAAATATTTTACTTCACTCTCTATTTGCTTGCATGTTTTTTGAAGAGAAGTCCAATGTAACTTGGAACTTATCCTGTTCTTCTTTAGATAACGTGCTTTTTCCCCTCTGGCTTCTTTCAAGATGTTCTCTTTATTTTTGATTTTCTATAGTTAGAATAGTATGTACCTGGGTATAGGTTTTTTGGTGTTTATCCTCCTTGGTGTTCTGTAAGCTTTTTGGATTTGTGGTTTGGTGTCTGTGATTAATTCTGAAAAATTCTCAGCCCTTATTATTTCAAGTATTTCTTCTGTTCTCTTTTTTTTATCCTTTTAGTATTCCCGTTATGTGTATATTACACCTGTTCTAATTGTCCCTCAGTTCTAGAATACTGTGTTCTGCTTTTATCATTTTTTGTTGTTGTTGTTCTAGTTTGGGAAGTTTCTGTTGACATATCTTCAAGTTTACCAGTCTTTCCTTGGCTGTGTCCAGTCTACTTATGAGCCCATAAAAACATTCTTCATTTGTATGGAGTTTTGATTTTTAGCATTTCCTTTTGATTTTTTTTTTTTTTAAGATTTTATTTATTCATTTGACACAGAGAGAGAGAGAACAAGCAGGGGGAGCAGCAGGCAGAAGGAGAGGGAGAAACAGGCTCCTCGCTGAGCCAAGGAGGTTCTGATGTTTGCTTTGTCTCTTTAATCTTTGCATTTTGCATTTTAGCATGCCTTGTAATTTTTTATTGGAAGTTGTATGTGATGTAAAAGGAATTGCGGTAAATGGGTCTTTGGAGTGAGGTTTTATGTTTATCTGGCGAGGGACTAGGTTATGTATGTTGTTGCTGAAGCAGTAGGTGTCAGGGGCCAAAATTTCCTCTAGTGTCCTTGTTTTTGTTTGCCTGGTACTGATTCCAGTGGCTTACTCCTGATAAGCTGTGATTCTTGGTATTCACTTCTCTTACTAGTTTTGGGGGCAGCAGTCTGCTCTGTGATCTTAAATCTCTGATGGAACTAAAAACAGTTGTTGATTTTGTTTGTTCAGCTTTTTTTCTTGTGAGGACAGGAGTGATGATTTCTAAGTTCTTTACATGTGGGATCAGAAACCAGAAGTTAGAGAAGATAGTTTGAGATTTGTTCTGACCTGAGGAGGGATCCTGCCAACAATCTTTTTCTGATTCTCTCTGACAAATTAGCCAGCCTACAATTTAGCCTGTATGGCCAGTGAATCTACAAATTTCTTCCCATTTGCCTTTCACCACAAACTCCACTGTTTATAGAGAGTGCTCTTAGGCTAGAACTTCTCTACACTCTGTTGCAAATGAAGTCAGGTCCTCTGGGAAGGGAATAGGGCTATCTGCTTTACAGCCAGCTTCTTCCCCCCAGGCAAAATCTTCAAGCTGAGGCTTTAGAGTTGGTACTGGGGTGGGGGTGGGGAATCAATGGCATGCTTCTCTCTGAGTGACTCCCTACTCTAAAAGCTGAGCACCTGGAGTTAAAGCAAACATTAGCCTCAGATATTCTTGCCTCTCTTAATGTGGAACCACTGCTTTATGAGGTGGGCTAAGGGTAATCAGAGCCTCTGTATTCTTAGGCATGCCATGCCCAAGGTAGAGCTGGGGCTAGGTGGAAGAAGGGAGCCCTACTTTTTGACTACACTCACCCAGGACTCAGCCCCAACAACAAGCAGCTGGGAGCTACATGAGAAATGCTGTCATCCTGGTCCCCCAGGAAGGTGGCCCACTGGGAGCTGGGGGTAGAGGGAGTCCTGTGCTCTTGGCTATACTAGTCTGGAGTAGTTTTCATCTTGCTGAGCTAAGAACAGATGGAAGGAGCACATCCTAGATCAGACATCATAGACTCTCACTATTCTTACTGAACTCTAGTAGATTTTTTGGAATAAATGTTTCTTTGTTTGCTGTATGCCCCTAGGACTATTTCCAGAGACTTTAAATAGTTGTCCTTTTATAGTTTTCACCAGTTTTCCTGGAGAGCATGCCCATAGAGCTCCTCATGCTGTCATGTTGGAAGTGGATATCTGGACATTTCTTTATATGATCATAATGTCATTACCACACCTAACGAAATTAGTAATAATTCTTTGGTATCATTTAATGCCCATTTCATAACTTACCCAATTTAGAGGTATCTGCTTTAATTAAAAAAAATTTAAATCTGAGTAGGTGGCATTGGTTGGTGATCTAATAATAAGTAGTTGGAGTTCTTTACTATGGCATTCAGGGGTGTTTTACCCATAGTTTAGAAGTTTGAGCTTGCTTTCATTCCTGTGAAATTCTGTTTGGTTTAAACCTTTGAATCAGAGAACATCAAAGGTGAATAAAATTATCACTCAGAAAATTGTTTCTTTTTTTTTTAAGATTTTTATTTATTTGAGAGAGAGAGCACAAGCAGGGGGGATTGGCAGAGGGAGAGGGAGAAGCAGGCTCCCCACTGAACAGGGAGCCTGACATGGGGCTCTATCCCAGGACCCTGGTATTAAGACCAGAGCCAAAGGTAGACCCTTAACCAATTGAGCCACCCAGGTGCCCCGAAAATTGTTTCTAAATAGTAGTTTAATTTTAAAGTTAATCAGTTAAAAAAAAAAAAAGGAAAACATCTATGATCATATCTCAGTAGTAATCAGGGAAGTATAAACTAAAGGTAGGGGACTATTTTTCACATAAAAAATGTTGTGTTCAGTACTGGTAGAGGTACAAACTTGTTCAACCTTTCTGAAAGGGGACTTGGGAGTAAAAAACCCGCAAAGGTATTTCCTTTTTTTACCCACTAATTTTCATCCTAAAATAAAGAGATTCTTTATCTAATTTTCATTTTATAGTATTAGAATAATGGTTTATGGGGCGCCTGGGTGGCTCAGTCGTTAAGCGTCTGCCTTCAGCTCAGGTCATGATCCCTGGGTCCTGGGATCGAGCCCCGCATCATGCTCCCTGCTTGGCGGGAAGCCTGCTTCTCCTTCTCCCACTGCCCCTGCTTGTGTTCCCTCTCTCACTGTGTCTCTCTCTGTCAAGTAAATAAATAAAATCTTTAAAAAAATAAATAAATAACGGTTTACGAACCCCTTGGAATTCAGCAGAGATATTCACAGTAAATGTCCAAGGGTAAAGAAAGAATTCACTATGATCCAATTTTGGAAAATAATCTGCAAGTAAGTATATGTATATAAAGGAAAACCGGAAGGAAATGAACCAAAATGTTAATAATGGTTATTTTTGTAATCTTACATTATTATAATCTACTTTATTTTTCAGATTTTCTATGAATTTTATTGTGAATTTTGTGATCAGAAAAAAAACATTAACATTTAGTTAAGAAAAGGAAAGCAGTGGTGCGCCTGGGTGACTCAGTTGGTTGACCGTCTGTCTTCGGCTTGGGCATGATCCCAGGGTCCTGGGATCGAGCCCCGCATCGGGCTCCCTGCTCCACAGGAAACCTGCTTCTCCCTTTCCCACTCCCCCTGCTTGTGTTTCCTCTCTCGCTGTGTCTCTCTCTGTCAAATAAATAAATAAAATCTTTAAAAAAAAAAAAAAAAGAACAGGAAAGCAAAATAGCAAGTTATATCTTGGTATTCCAAATCTCTGAAAGAAAAAAGTCACTCAGAGCTGAGCAAACACTGTCTCAGTTATCAAGAAGAATAATTGCTCATTTTTCTTTTTTCCCAGCGTTGCATCAGAGCCAAGAAAACTTTATGAAATGCCAAAATGTTCCAAATCAGAAAAAATAGAGGATGCATTATTATGGGAATGCCCAGTGGTAAGATTTGTTTTTAGAGTATTTGTTTCCAACACATTTTTAGCGTAAAAGAACTGATTATTGTTAATATATGTAAAAAGGAATAAAGCTTAAATATCATAGTGATTCTTGACTCTTGAAAGGAGTCAAGAAGAGTATATCCTTTGCTTATTTTTCCTTGTGAAATAATTTCTATTTTTAAAAATTGTACATTAATATTATGAATGTATTTTAAAAATTTGATGCCATTTGTAAATTTTGAAAACTGGAAAAAGTTATGAACTGGTTAAAAGTTTTATAAGCAATGAAAGGTAGTTTAGAGTTATTCTCAGTGTTTAAGAGATCATTCTGATTTAAGACATCATTCTATCAAAATAAAATATTAATTTAGGCAACAGTTACGTTACATGGCTCTTTGAAAGTAAATTCTTGTTAGTGTCCTCCATGAATCTTGTTAGGAAAATAATAAGTCAAAAACAAAAAATAATAGGGGCGCCTCGGTGGCTGAGTTGTTAAGCGTCTGCCTTCAGCTCAGGTCATGATCCCAGAGTCCTGGGATCGAGCCCCGCATCGGGCTCTCTGCACAGTGGAAAGCCTGCTTCTCCCTCTCCCACTCCCCCTGCTTGTGTTCCCTCTCTCGCTGTGTCTCTCTCTGTCAAATAAATATAATAGGTTAAACTCATTCCACAAGACAGACCAGCGTTGCCCTGTGTGTATTTTTCAGAAGACTGTTTAATAAAATGATAACATCTTATACTTCCTAGAGGAGTTGGGAGCATTGAGTTGTAGACAAAATAAGTGGGATATTCTGAGCTTAAAAGGTGAAACAAATTTATTTATATAATTACTTCTTAGAGCCTTTGATAATACTATGCAATAATACTAATGTTCATGGTGATTTTGACAACCATATTCCAAAACTCTTTTGATCATAGGACTTCCTTTTTTGAGGTATATTTCTACATACTGGTTTTCCATGGATCAGTGTTTTAAGAACAGCACTTAGGAAATACTGCAGCAAATTAATCAGGTCTCTGAATCTGGCTGATTGTTTTTTTAGGAAAAATAGAACTTACAATATGGGACCAAAAATAATGTTTAAAGGATAAGAGGCTATGCTTTGAATTTACTATTAAAATTCTTTCTCTCTCTTTTTAAATACTATTGTTTTTATATAAATTGCAGTTTTCCTGAGCTGCTGCTTTCTTTTTCCCTAGACACTTACTCTTTTATTTTTATTTTTATTTTTTTTAAGATTTTATTTATTTATTTGAGAGAGAGAGAATGAGAGATAGAGAGTACAAGAGGGAAGAGGGTCAGAGGGAGAAGCAGACTCCCCACTGAGCAGGGAGCCCGATGTGGGACTCGATCCCGGGACTCCAGGATCATGACCTGAGCCGAAGGCAGTCGCCCAACCAACTGAGCCACCCAGGCGCCCGACACTTATTCTCTTTAAAAAGAGACATTAAATTTATGCTTTCTTCCCTGATTTCTTATTGAGAGCTGAAAATAACTGTTGTGACTCCAACATCTAAAGCCTTTTATTTTTTTTTTAAGATTTTATTTATTTATTTGAGAGAGTGAGAGAGAGAGAGAGAGAGAGAGAGCATGAGCCAGGGAAGCGGCAGAGAAGCAGACTCCCCGCTGAGCAGGGAGCTGGACATGAGACTTGATCTTGATCCCAGGACTCTGGGATCATGACCTGAGCCAAAGGCAGACGCTTAACTGATTGAACCACCCAGGTGCCCTCTGAAGCCTTTTTTTTTTAAATAACTATTTACTTTCTTTCTTTCTTTCTTTCTTTCTTTCTTTCTTTCTTTCTTTCTTTCTTTCTTTCTTTCAAGATTTTATTTATTTGTCAGAGAGAGAGAGAGCAGAAGCAGGGGGAGCAGAAGGCAGAGGGAGAGGGAGAAGCAGGCTCCCTACTGAGTAAGGAGCCTGATGGAGGGCTCCATCCTAGGATCCTGGGATCATGACCTGAGCCGAAGGCAGATGCTTAACCAACTGAGCCACCCAGGCATCGCTAAAGCCTTTTAATCCATTTTCATTTGCGGGGGCGGGGGGGGAGGAAGACAGATTTCTTAATTGAGAAAAGTTTTGAAGACACCAGTACAAAATCACCAAAAATTTAAAGCAATCCTTGCAAAAATAAAGTTTCTAGTAACCTAGTTCCTATTCTCACTTCTTTTACCATTTTCTTCTCATTTGAAGTTAAGCAAGATTTTCCATTAAGAAAAACTGAGAAGCATATATTGTTGTTAACATACTGATGTGAAACCATGCTTAAATCAGCACCCTTGTTTTTCTGAGACAGTGTGTGAAATACAACTTTTGGTTTACGAAAATAGCTCAAACCTATTACATATGCTATTTCAAATTCTTTTTTAATAGGCAAGGTATAAATAGTATATTTTTTTTAATTAAGAATCTCCTTGGGGAGGGTATGTGCTATTGTGAGCACTGTGAATTGTGTAAGACTGTTGAATCACAGACCTGTACCTCTGAAACAAATAATACATTATATGTTAAAAAAAAAAAAAGAAGATAGTAGGAAGGGAAAAATGAAGGGGAGGAAATGAGAGGGGGAGATGAACCATGAGAGACTATGGACTCAGAAACAAACTGAGGGTTCTAGAGGGGAGGGGCGTGGGGGGATGGGTTAGCCTGGTGATGGGTATTAAAGAGGGCACGTACTGAATGGAGCACTGGGTGTTATACACAAACAATGAATCGTGGATCACTACCTCAAAAACTAATGATGTAATGTATGGTGATTAACATAACATAATAAAATAAAATTAAAAAAAAAAGAATCTCCAGGAGATGATACTTATATAAGACACCATAGAATAAAAATATTTACATCATTGCATGTGATTTTAATGTAAGACTTCTAGTAGTTAATAAGCTTACACACACACACACACACACACACACTCTCAAGAAACAAACACAAGAATGTTTCTTTCCCTAACATTTGAAAGGGAAGACAAATCTTTAAAAGCATATATAAAATAACTATGCCTTCATTTTTTTCTATTCACTTTACAGCCTAACTGAATACTAGATTAATTCCAACTTTCCTATCCTTAACTTTCCTCTTAGAACATCCTTTTTAGGGGCACCTGAGTGGCTCAGTCAGTTGAGGATCTGAATCTTGGTTTCAGCTCAGTCATGATCTTGGGGTGGTGAGATCAAGTCCTGAGTGGGGCTGTGCACTCAATGAGGGGTCTGCTTAAGATTCTCCACTCTGCCCCTCCCTGCGCTGCTCTCTCTCTCTCAAATAAATTTTTTTAAAAAAGAGAGAACTTCCTTTTTATTTTACAAATCAAAATAGAACTCCTTGCTTCTCTTTCTTTTCCTGCCTTTGACTTCCACCTTGTGGCAGGTGCTCAGTGGCAGGTATGCCCAAGTAGCTATTTCCCTTTTTGGGGGATAATTCATTGGCGACAGAGAATATCTTTATTTATTTATTTATTTATTTATTATCATGTTATGTTAATCACCATACATTACATCATTAGTTTTTTAAACTCATTCCACAAGACAGACCAGCGTTGCCCTGTGTGTATTTTTCAGAAGACTGTTTAATAAAATGATAACATCTTATACTTCCTAGAGGAGTTGGGAGCATTGAGTTGTAGACAAAATAAGTGGGATATTCTGAGCTTAAAAGGTGAAACAAATTTATTTATATAATTACTTCTTAGAGCCTTTGATAATACTATGCAATAATACTAATGTTCATGGTGATTTTGACAACCATATTCCAAAACTCTTTTGATCATAGGACTTCCTTTTTTGAGGTATATTTCTACATACTGGTTTTCCATGGATCAGTGTTTTAAGAACAGCACTTAGGAAATACTGCAGCAAATTAATCAGGTCTCTGAATCTGGCTGATTGTTTTTTTAGGAAAAATAGAACTTACAATATGGGACCAAAAATAATGTTTAAAGGATAAGAGGCTATGCTTTGAATTTACTATTAAAATTCTTTCTCTCTCTTTTTAAATACTATTGTTTTTATATAAATTGCAGTTTTCCTGAGCTGCTGCTTTCTTTTTCCCTAGACACTTACTC